GACGGTCAGTGGTCTATGTATCTCAGTGTTTGAGATAGCTTAAATTTATCACTTGGACCGGGCAGTATGAATAACTTCAAAACGTTGTAAATGCAAGAAATCAAACATTCTTTACAATTCCAAATGTCACAAAAGCTCATCTTGCAGGAATAAATAATTCTAAACTTAATAACTTTCTTGAACAGTCCTTAATTATTAGATATGTCTGTTGATTTTTCTCAGTTTACTAATCATACAAAAATAACATGTTTCTCGTTGTCTGTTCTTCTTGTTACACACTTCCGTCCCATTTCACGAAATCACTCCCACAAATAGCAGGAAAGATGTTACACATCAAAAATAGTATGGGCTCAACACTTCTCATTTTATTACTTTGCCCAAATACGGTGGGCAATATTCATAATGGCCGGGAAAAGTAATTAATCATGCTGTTTTAATCACATTGCCCAGTCATCTCGTCAGACCTCTTGCCATCGTCAAGAAATATGCCGCTAGGCTGAAGGACCGCTGGCACGTTGACTAAAAAGTAAAAGTATTTAGAAAACTAGTCACACAAAATTAAATGAATCTAAAACCCAACGTCTGTTAGTATATACAATTTTATTCTTCGGCTCTGCACTTTTATTTCTTGCGCCGTATGACTCCACGTTGGCTCCAAACGCTACGCTCCTAGTTTCTGGTTAGGCAGCCGGGCCCGCTCCAGCGCGGGCGCCGACTATATAGTTTATGTACCTAACAGAAGTTGGCTCAGGGTGGCGAAGTTAAAATACGGTTATTTTCAAGTAACGTGTTCAGTCACCAGTATTACAAATAGGAATGAATAAAACTACATGCCGGGCCCTATATAATAACACAATCTCGAAACAAATAATTAAACAAAAGTTAAGACTACGCAGAACTAATTAGTTAATGTAAACAAAACCAACGCATGGCAGTCAATCCTTATCACACATAATAATGGGGCCCGGTCACGCGAGCTTCGTGAGAACTATATAACATTTATGACCTTGATTGAGAAATGGGATATTTTTATTTTAAAATTAAAGGTTTCTGTGGGATTCTCCAAAAACTTAAGTTAACGCGGACGAAGTCGCGAGCTGCCGCTAGTGTATAATATTCTTTTCTTATTAGAATATTTTAATGTGTCAGAGACATTCGCAAGAAAGACTATTTATGAATACGCACAAACAATGTTTTTCCTTGTTTTTTAACTCAACAGGTTTGGAAAAACCATGTATTGTATTGTTGTTTCTTGTATGCCACACTGCATATTTGATAAATTTTAGCTGCATGACTATATAAAGCACAGTTGAGTTAATCAATTTTGTTTTTTCTTGTTTTGCAGAAAAGGTTTACTCTATTAGTTAAATAGTGATTTTCGAAGAGTGGCTACAGCACGAAAAAGACGAACGAAATTATCGTCTTTTTAAAATTTCTGAAGAATATCAAAGGTAACTTACGAAGAAATTAGCTAGTATTTCTTCAAAACATTGCTGTCAAATGGATGTCTTAAGGAGAGTCATAAAAGCGATAAAAATAAGTTGTGACTGGTAGGCGAGAAGATAGAGCATGCGATCGACTTAACCGAAACGTAACCTTTTACCTTTCTCGACCTGGAAGTAGAGCCGTAGCCAGAGTTGTATTTAACACTAGATGACCTGGCGAACTTTGTATCGCCTAACAGTCGATGAAAGTGGTTTATTTGAGGAAAAAGGATAATATAGTGAGTGACACTTAAAAAGTGGACATATGCTGTCTCGGACTTTTTTATGAAGGAGAACAATTCCGTCATACATGATTATTGTGTAACTTTAACGTCTTTAACCATTTACGCAGCACACGCAATGGAAACGTTCAAATAGAATATTTTTTCCCGTTTTCGCAACATTTTTCATCTATGATCCGCTTTATACTAGTATAGATAGGGCAGCGGTAACTATAGGTAGGCTAATAACCAGGCTATAAGCAGGGGCGTGCCGCCCTTCACAGCCCGCTGGCCTGTTTTAATATTAATTAATATTTGAAGTCCGTGCCATGCCAACGCAAGTAGTAAATGGAAACTCAGCATGGTACTGAGTATTTAGTTAATTGATTAACAAAAATAAAAAGTCGAACATGCATGTTCATGTCATGCATGTTAGATCTGAGTTGCCATTGGGTGCATGGCACAGACTTTGACACTATGCAGGGCGTCCCACGGCAACCTCACACGGAGGGAAAGTATATTAAATATTGAAGATAGGACATTTTACTGACAGAAGACATCGCCATTAAAAATCGCCTGCCGCGACTGGGAATCAAACTCGTGAAATTTCGAAAAAAATAACTCGGCATATTTTATGATAACCATCAAAAGGGTTAATCAGAAGGATTATTTTTTGCTAAATAACATAGCATTTTAAATGAAAGGAATGTGAATTACGTCATAAAAATAATAAAGTGGTGTACAAACTGTAGTACGTATGCATTTCTTTTTGAATTCAGTTACAATGCGATTGGTTGAAATTTGTAATAATAATTTGAAAATGGAACACATAAATTTTCAAGCCTGTGTTTTTTTGTTTTTCGTGAGTTTAATTTTTCGTTTATTTGATTTTTTTGTTAATTTACTTACAATAGCGCATCAAAATAAAATAGATTTAATGTAAGCTTACTTTATGAACCACAAAGACATATCATTAGCTTAGCGGTGGTACCGCGAAAGATATCCTGATAGAGACAAACCCTCTTGATATTTGTTTAAATAATGAAAGAAAGATAGAGATAGAGAAAGATTTTTATAAAGATTTTTATTACCATTAAGCTATGGTAAGTTAATTAACAAAAAAATGCAAATAAATGTAAATGAAACTCACAAAAAACAAAAGAACAGACACTTGAAAAATTATGTGTTCCATTGTCGAATTATTATTATTAGAAATTTTTGCCAGTCGCATTGTAACTGTTAGTTCAAAAAGAAATGCATACGTACTACAGTTTGTATACCACTTTATTATTTTTATGACGTAATTCACATTCGTTTCATTTAAAATGCTATGTTATTTAGCAAAAAATAATCCTTATGATTAACCCTTTCGATGGTTATCATAAAATATGCCGAGTTATTTTTTTCGAAATTTCACGAGTTTGATTCCCAGTCGCGGCAGGCGATTTTTAAAAAATCTGTGAATGCAGTTCTAGTTATTATTAAAAATAAAATGATGTCTTCTGTCAGTAAAATGTCCTATCTTCAATATTTAATATACTTTCCCTCCGTGTGAGGTAGCCGTGAGACGCCCTGTATATAAATTTGTAGGTACCTACTTTAGATATAAGTGAAGAATACGTAATTCTTGTTTCTTAGTGATTTTATTTTTATAATGTATTTTTTATTTTTGTTAAAGAAGTATTAGTTATTAGGCAACGGTGTGATCAATATTTTTGCTATCACAATCAGACGGGCCATACGCCTGTTTGCGACCCTTTTAACATCATATAAAAGAACATCATGAAATCACAAGATGAAAGTTGTAAGAAATCTTACTTCATGTCTACATCATAGAAGTTGTGACAAATTGATATCTAGCACGTTAAGCTGTTGGTCCCCGCTGAGTCTATAGTCGTTAGTATTTGTACTCCTCTAATACGTAGTGGCCTTGAGTGGGGGGTTATGACTCGTTCTCGTACTGTGATTTTGTCCATAGGGAAGGCCTCTTTCGCAATGACCAAAGCCTTCTAACTCAAGCTCTCTATAAGACACAAGATGTTGTACCCTGCTGCATATCTGCAATTGTTAACACTCAATAATCCGCACTGGGTTCGCATGTGGAGGTTACAACCTGCTTTCGTTGTATGCTTCCAGCTTTACCTATCACTTGAAAACATCTACAGGAGATGAAAGTAAATCTGAATTTGCACAAGGTGATATCGAGGATACGTAGCGAGGGATGGAATCAATAGAATCGCTAATCTCACACTAAGAAGCTGATGATAATGAAAGCTCTCTGTCATATGCGACGAATTAGAAATTATATCATTTTTGTTTCTTAAGTTTTCACGCACATCGTCATTATTCTGACGATGCAGACCTGAAAAGGCTGCGAAACGACAATAAATAAATAAAGTTCGTGCATTAACCCGTTAAAACTAGTTTTATTTAATTATATCATTTCTCATTAATAAGGGGTGATGAGGGGGTAAAGTAAACGAAAAACTATTTAGTCCGCCAATTAGTTATCAAAAAATAATTAACGCGTATTTTTTTTGTCAATCAACCAAATTTACAAAATAAAGCAAGTCAAAGTTGACGACCTTCGTGACCGAGTGGTTTGTACGCCGGGTTTCATGGTGTCGCCGACTCGAGAGGTCCTGGGTTCGAGTCCCGGTGGGGGTAGATGTTTGGATGTTTAATAATTTCATGGATGTTTAATATCTATTTCTATATACTTATATATGTATTCTATCCGTTACCCTAGTATCCCATAAATAGTGCTTAGTTTGGGGCAAAAAAAATATAAAAGTTTGAGAGAGGCGGCTCGTGATGTCACTTCTAAGTAACTTTTTACTAAACGTGACGTCATGTGACATTTCAAATCAATATATCTGTAATATTTTGAATTTGTGAATAAAGAAAAATACGTGTCTATAAACTCTTTGATAAATCTACCTGATAGATGAAGAAAAAAAGTTAGTCATCATCCCTCTTGACCATAAGAAACCTGAAAAGTAACTTCAGCGCTCGGCCATTTGGATGACTGCGGTGGTTAGTTCAGCAGTCCAGACTTCGCGTCTATAAAATTCCTCCTCCCATATGGTCAACAGTTGAAAACCTAGCTAAGTGGACCATGGAGTGCGGGCCCAGACACAATTTAAAGTACCTAAGCTTAACAAAGCAATATTAGAAATATAGTTATATATTTTTATTTTATAAGCATTTAACTGTCAGATGTTTAAATCGAAAGAAAATTTTACTACAACAAAGTCCACGTCCTCGTGGACATTGTTGGACCAGGTTACCTACAATGCGAAGAGATGGCGCTGCCTTGGAGCCTAAGAAACACTAGCGAAAAATCGACACGGCCATCAGAGTCGCGGTTGCATAATGGTCAGTGCATCCGCCAGGATAATGGAGGGTGCGAGTTCAAGTCACGTCTGCTGACTGGTCCACGTGGAATTTTTGACAATATAGTTATTGTTTACTTCATAACAAACACCGGTCAATGTTTTAGATATTAGTCCATTCTGTGGAAAATATCATTTTGAATACCTACATAAAATTTATCGTTACATTTTAGTATCTGTACGAACAGTATATTTTATCTCTCTTGCGTATTATACATTAATATTTTATACGAATCCTTTTTAACCCCGTTGATAAAGTTGAGGGAAGAGAAAACACCTTGGAGAAATACTAATAGAAAACAATAACAAAGGAAAATTCGAAATGCAAATTATTTTTATTAAAAAAAAACATTCGTTGACTGTCGACTTGCTGATCTTGATTTGCATATGCTCATGTGTTGATTCCAGTCTTGTTTCTGAAACAATACAAATGACATTTTAATTAATGATCACGAAAACAAATAGACTATTCATATTAAAGATTTCACCTCGTAATTTGAGATAGTAACCTGTAAACTTGTATAAACCTTTATTTAAAACTTGTCTTAAAACGCAGAATACCTACTTATCGTTAGGGACACGATATCGAATAGAAAGTATCGATACTGTACTCATGAGTAGTATCGGTAAAAAAGTATCGTACTCGTAAAAGTATCGAAACAAAAGTATCGATACTTCAAAGTATCGAGTACATTTCATAGGGCCTTATCGGAGCCTCTGTGGCCTAATGAGCCACCCCCCCCGGTGTGAAAAACAATCGAATTTTATTATAGTACGTATAATCAAAAACAAAAATATGGACATTGAAAGAAAAACAATCGAATTTTATTATAGTACGTATAATCAAAAACAAAAATATGGACATGTAAATTCACAAATTGCTATATTATATAATGAAAAGAAAATAGCTGTGATTTCTGACACTAAAAAAGTGTTCATTAATATTCTTTTTTTCAGGTGGTTTCAAATAAGTATACACAGCACAGACAGAATAATAGTGTTACACTTGAATAAATCAAATACAGTCAAGCGAAAAGCACAATAAACGGCGAATCAATCACAGTTCCTAACAATATGGTCGCTAAATAAATAACTATGAAACAAAACAAACCGCAAAATAAACACAGTCACAGATTGCAAAGAATTTGAATATGTCAGTTGCTGACTTTATAACAACGCAATAGGTCATTTGACAGTATTAAAAATAAAGTGCCAAAATAACGAAAAAGATATTAGTTTTCTTATCTTTTGTCACGTGATCCAAAACGCTTCGGATTGGCGGAGCCTAAAATGACGTCACACGCAAGTAAACTTCCGGTCAAAGTGACATTACATTGTATCGTTTGACGTTTTAATAACAGTCGTGTGACGTCACACACTAGTAAGACGCCATATTATCCAGAGAAACGTTTTCGCGGCAACTTGAAAATGGAGTTTTTGATTTGGTTATTTTTACTGAAATACACGACAGAATGATGAATATCCACTTTTTACGGACTCCATAAACATTAGTCAATAACGTGAGATCGTTGCCTAAAACTTGTCAAATACCCTATGGAACGTTTTAGAAGGTTTGCTATGATTTAACAAGATGGCGTTGCCATCATTATGAGGCGCTTATCCAAATTTTTAAAGGTATCGATACTTGCCAAAAAGTACTCATTTAGTAAAAGTATCGAATACAAAGTATCGAGTACAAAAGTATCGGTATCGAAAGGAAAAGTACTCGATACCACAAAGAATCGATACTTTTTTCATGTCCCTACTTATCGTAGGTTGCCTGCTGTGGTGTGTGTAGTAACTATATATCGATATATACACACTCTCATTTATTGTTGTTCTTTTTCTGTCTTAGCATACTGCCTCATGTTATTTGTCCTTTCTTGCTGTCAATGTCATAGTTGCGAACAGGCATGGATCGGCAGTAGAATTACTAATAAGTTTGCAATTCATTTAATTATTTCTTTGTTTTCTTCTTTTGTTTTTTAGGTTCCAGTCTGTTCCTCTCACAGATAAATCATACTTTTTTTTTTAAAAAATGTACTTTTTTTGTAAGGCTAAGGATGGTGAAAAACATTCAGCCTACGTTGTTATTATCTTTTTTATTTATGTGTGTGGTTGTTTATTTACTATTGTTTAAAAATAATAATCTGTGTCGTCAACCTTAGGCCCTGCCAGAATCATCAGGGCTGCAGCAGCCCTGGTTCTGCTGTAGTATCAAGCTGAGGCAGGGACCTAGTTGGCCAAAAAAACTTTTTATTTTTTTTATTTATGTTTAACAATACTTTGTGGTCAATAAAATTTATTTCTTTCTTCTTATCTTTCATCTTCATTTGATACTTTTTTTTTGTTTATTTCGCTGCACTTTGTAATTTTATCTAAATCGTCTGCGCAGCACTGCCTACAGGCAGCACTGGCAGGGTCGCCATGCGATGATGGTTGTTGAGGGCGCAACGAATGATAGACTAACTCCGGTTATAAGACTCTTATTTCGACTATTATTGCTCTAGATGAGCTTATATATAGGGTTAAGATGAGAGTTTGTATATATCGATATATAGTTACTACACATACTACACTACGTCTACTGATAACTGAGATCGATTGTCAAAAAAGAAATATTTTATGCAATTATCTAGTTACGCCGCGACATTTGTATTCAATATAAATATTGTAAAGGATAAAATTCTCAAAAACTTTTGTTTAAAAAAAATATATCTTGAACCGTTTTCGAGATAGAAGTTAGAGAGGGCGCAGTGTTTAATTATTTAAAGTTTTGTTTGAGGCCAACATTTACTTTTTTGTAGGTAAGGTCCAAAAAGGAGGGTCCAACTGGTACTAGACCTTATTCCCGAGTAAAAATGCGCCTTTTAAAGTGTTTAAATTACTGATAAATGTGCAATTATAAATATACTATCGGCCCGCCCTCGCTTCGCTACGGTGTAGAGCTGAAGTGTAGACTTTTTGTTCTCAGGCTTGTATTATACACAATGACATTCATCTACCGATTCTTCTTATACCTGCATGCAAAGTCTCAACCCGATCGGTTTAAAATTGACAAAGTTTCGTACAAACTTTCATTCCCTATTTTATCCCCTTGGGGGTATAATTGATAAAAATCCTTTCTTAGCGGATGCCTACGTCATAACATCTACCTGCATGCAAAATTTCAGCCCGATCGGTCCAGTGGTTTAGGCTGTGCGTTGATAGATCACTATGTCAGTCAGTCACCTTTGAGTTTTATATATATAGATATTACTTTACTGATACTACTACTGAAGTTTTGGTATTTTATGTCAAGTGCTTGCCCAAACATATGTATAATTATAAATACATAGGTATCGTTATCGATCAGTGGTTTAACTGGAGTTCCCATATCGAATATATCACTAACAAACTACGGTCAATTTTGAGCAAAATGACCATTCTTCGTTATAAGATGCCACTGAGTACTCGAAGATTGTTTTATATTTCTATGGCAGATTCCTTAATTAACTATAGGTTGAGTAATTATGGCAGATCCTGTAAAACACACTTGCAACAGATATATAATTTACAGGTCAGTCTAATTAAAATATTTGTACCAAAGAAAATACAAACTAAAAGTTTGAGGCGTATTTTCTTAATTGAATAAAGTTTCGTTAATTAGATTTATCTATTAAAGGGTAACAACTCCGAGACAGTAGCTCGTCCGTCTACACCAACTTCTATCGCGGAGATATCATTTAATACAGTGAATCGAAAAGGACCGCCTAAGCTCAACATTAATATTACGAATAATGTAGACGATAATAATCTGCGTCGCTCGGAACTGCGCTCAATAATCCGTGAAGAGATATCAAGTGCACTTAAATTATTTGCAACTGAGTTGACTGACTGTATCAAGACGGTAAATGAGCAAATTAGTGATTCCAAGTGTTCTATTGAGTTCATGAATGACAGGTTTGATAGGATCTCAAATGAGTTTACGGTACAGCAACAAGAAATATCGACCTTAAAAAAAAATAATCTACCCTGCGGTCAGATATAAATGCCCTCAAACGTAAATTAAATCAACTTGATCAATTTTCCCGATCTAACACCCTGGAAATACAATGCGTGCCAGAACGAAAAAAGAGGATGTCGTGAGCATAGTAAAGCAGTTGGGAAATACAGTGAATCATTCATTGAATGACCACGATGTCATGTATTGCTCACGGGTCGCCAAACTTGATCCCAGCAACCCTAGACCACGCACAATTATAGTAAAGTTTAGTTCTCCAAGGCTCCGTGATTCAGTTTTGTCGGCAGTAAGTAAATATAATAAACAAAACAAGGAAAACAAGCTCTGTACCCATGACTTTGGCTTCAATGCGGAGGAGAAAAAACCAGTTTTTGTAATTTAGAATCTGTCATTAGAGAACAAACAGCTGCATGCTGCAGCTCGTAAACGCGCCAAAGAGCTCAACTACAGATTCACCTGGTTCCGTTCAGGCCGAATTTACATGAGAAAATCAGATGATTCTGAAGCAGTTTTCATTCATGACTTTGAAAGTCTTGCTAAACTCAAGTGACTACGTGTTTTTACATTCTATATAGTTTATATTACCACATAAGTTTTATATTCCATACTTTTAGGTTGTTTTGGTTGCTTTATTCTGGTAAGCTATATAAAAGGAAAATTATATTGTTTAATAATAATTAATTATATTGTTATCTGTATTGTATTGTGCTATTTATGTCTTTTTACAATATAAGTACATTTAGTTGTATACAGAAAGTCTCTAATAAAATGCAAGAATCATACTCAAGCAATAATGTAACAAAATATGTATTTTTAAAAAACGACAATGGTAATCTGAAATGGTTTGAAAATAACATTGTTAATTATTTTCTAGGGTTGATTGACAGTTTAGGTAAAAATATTTCTGCATGTTGTCATACTAATTGGAATTACAAGCATTCCCATATTTTTATATATATATAAATAATAAACTCTCAATCATATTAAACATATTTATGTTATATTCACTCTGTTTATCTTTTTATTTATTCATACCCTTTTCTAATTACATGAATAAAATTAACAATAAAAATGACTATGGTTTGCTCTTAATGCATGGTATTATGTTTAACAAAATATATGAAATAATAAAGCTAATGATTTCTGGTAAACTTATTAAAATATGTGTCACAATTACTTTGTTAATAACGGTCATAGTGTCACAAACTCAACAATCTTACAATGGGACCTACAATTAAAAATAACAAATTATCTATTTATTATCAGAATGTTCGTGGACTTAGAACAAAATGTTTAGATCTTTTTAACCAAATTGCTATCAATGACTACGACATTCTCCTTTTTACGGAAACATGGCTCCAGGATGATATTCTTAACTCTGAACTATGCGACAAACGATATAACATAATCCGA